GTAAGCATGAGTCAGGGGAAGGAGCAGAGGGAGAGGGACAAGCAGACTCCATGCTGAGCATGGAGCCCTATGTGGGGCCTGATCCCACGACCCTGAGATCACAACCCCAGAAACCAAGAGTCTGACGCTCAACTGACTGAGCCACCTAGGCGCCCCATTAAGGCATTTTTAAAAAGACTTTATTTATTTAAAAAAAGAGGAAAGAGAGAGAGCATGTAGGAGCCAAGGGAGGGGCAGAAGGAGGGAGAGAGAAGCACAGTCCCCTCTGAGACCTGAGCCCTAAGCCAGCTGGATCCCATGAATCTGAGATCATGACCCAAGCCAAAATCAAGAGTTGGAAGCTCAACTGACTGAGCAACCCAGGTGCCCCTTAAGTGAAACTTTTCTATTATTTCTCTGTTGAGAGCTTAGCACTTGGATTTTGCACACCTGGGTGAGAAATCCATCTCTCACTTTCCATATGTACAACTTTATTTTTTTTTTTAAGTAGGCTCCATGCCCAGTGTGGAGCCCAATCAGGGGCTTGAACTCAAGACCCCGAGATCAAGATCTGAGTGGAGATCAAGATTTAGATGCTTAACCAACTGAGCCACCCAGCTACCCCTATAGGTCCCATTTTTGCAACAGCATTTGCTCACTTCATGTCTCTTTGTCATATTTTGGTAATTCTTGCAATATTTCAAATTTTTTCATTATTGTATTTGTTATGGTGATTAGTGACCAGTGATGTTGCTATTGTAATTGTTTTGGGGTGCCATGCATGAACTGTGCCCACAGACGGCAAACTTAATAAATGTTGTGTTCTGACTGCTTCACCCACCACCTATTCCCCTATCTCTCTCCCTCTCCTCAGTCTCCCTAATCCCTGAGACACAATATTGACATTAGGCTGATTAATAACCCTATAGAGGCCTCTAAGTGTTCAAATGAAAGGAAAAATGGCATGTCTTTCACTTTAAATCAAAAGCTAGAAATGATTAAGCTTAGTGAGGAAGGCATGTTGAAAATCAAGATAGGCAAAGTAAATTGAAAACTTTCTGTAAAGGATTCACCATTCTAGATGCCATTAAGAATGTTTGGGATTTAAACTACCAACATTAACGGGAGTTTGGAAAAAGTTGATTCCAACCCTCATGGATGACTTTGAGGGGCTCCAGACTTCAGTGGAAGAAGTAACTGTAGATGTGATGGCAACAGCAAGAGGAATAGAATTAGAAGTGGAGCCTGAAGAGGTGACTGAATTGCCACAATTTCATGGTAAAACTTTAACAGATGAGAATTTGCTTCTTACAAATGAGCAAAGAAAACAGTTTCTTAATAAGATGCAATCTACTGGGGCGCCTGGGTGGCTCAGTCATTAAGCGTCTGCCTTCGGCTCAGGTCATGATCCCAGGGTCCTGGGATCGAGCCCCGCGTCGGGCTCCCTGCTCTGCGGGAAGCCTGCTTCTCCCTCTCCTGCTTCTCCCTCTCCCACTCCCCCTGCTTGTGTTCCCTCTCTCACTGTGTCTCTCTCTGTCAAATAAATAAATAAAAATCTTAAAAAAAAAAAAAAAAGATGGAATCTACTCCTGGGGCACCTGGGTGGCTCAGTTGGTAAAGCATCTGCCTTTGGCTCAGGTCATGATCTCAGGGTCCTGAGATGGAGCCCTGAGTCCAGCTCCCTGCTCAGCAGGGAGTCTGCTTCTCCGTCTGCCCCTCCCCCTGCTCGTGCTCTCTCTCCCTCTCAGATAAATAAAATCTTAAAAAAAAAAAGATGGAATCTACTCCCAATGAAGATGTTGTAAAGATTGTTGCAGTGACAACAAAGGATTAAGAATAGTATATAAACTTAGTTGATAAAGCAGCAGCAGGGTTTGAAAGGATTGACTCCAGATTTGTCTTTTTTTTTAAGATTTTATTTTTAAGTAATCTCTCCACCCAACATGGGGCTTGAACTCACAAGAGTCTCATGCTCTACCGAGCCAGACAGGCACCCCAGGATTTTTCCAATTTTGAAAGAAGCTCTACTGTTTGACAGCATTACATGCTACAGAAAAATCATTCATGAGAAGAAGAGTCCTTTAATGAGGCAAACTTCATTGTTGTCTTATTTTAAGAAATGGCCACAGCTACCCCAATCTTCAGCAACCACCACCCTGATCAGTCAGAAGACATCAACATTGAGGCAAGACCCTCCACCAGCAAAAAGATGATGACTTGCTAGAAGTTGAGATGATGGTTAGCATTTTATAGTTGCACCACTACTTATTTAACCACTTATTGATGGACAATCAAGGTTTCAGTGAACACCTTCATACACTATTTTTGAACTCATGTGTGAGTGTCTCTGTGCCAATTCCCCCAGAATCGGAAGTGGATTTTGCTAGATCAAAGGGTGAATGCATTTAAAAATGTGAAGGCAACTCCAAACAGATTTCCCTAAAGATTTTATCAATTTACACCCCTGCTAATGGTATATGAGAGTACAAGGAACTTGTGAAAATAATTGTTGAGAATGAGATGATCAGGCTCTGAATAGTGGTCTCACCAGTGCTTTTGAGGGTTTTAAAATATTTTTGAGGGGTGCCTGGGTGGCTCAGTCATTAAGCGTCTGCCTTCAGCTCAGGTCATGATCCCAGGGTCCTGGGATCGAGCCCCGCATCGGGCTCCCTGCTTGGCGGGAAGCCTGCTTCTCCCTCTCCCACTCCCCCGCTTGTGTTCCTGCTCTCGCTAACTCTCTCTCTGTGTCAAATAAATAAATAAAATCCTTAAAAAAAATATTTTTGAGTACTTCAGTTACTCTCTAGGAATTCAATATTTTTTTAACGATTTTTATTTATTTATTTGACAGAGAGAGATATAGCGAGAGAAGGAACACAAGCAGGGGGAGTGGAGAGGGAGAAACAGGCTCTCCACTAAGTAAGAAGCCCAATGCGGGGCTCGATCCCAGGACCCTGGGATCATAACCTGAGCCGAAGGCAGACACTTAACGACTGAGCCACCCAGGTGCCCCTAGGAATTCTAATATTTATATGAAACCCCTAGTACACAGAACAGTATTGCTTTCTTTGGACTCGCTATTATGGCTCAATCTTGGTTAAAAACCTTGCCAGCTTATGAGCAATGACATTGGGACAGACTAGGGCTTTAACCAAACCCCAGCTTGCCCATTTCTCAGACTTTTGTCCTACATCACTCTTGTAATGGTGAAGCAATCCTCTTCAAATGACAAACCTTTTTCATCTACTAGATCTATGCTGGGGAAGTCCAACCCTGGCTGTTCTGTTCTTCCTTGTCACCAGTGGTGCCAATGCCAGGGTTTAAGAGGTCCCTCTAGGTGAAAAGTTTCAGAGTAGAGTCTTGGGCACAATTTTTCTTATAGCTTCTGTGAGCTTGTACCAGACTCGTGTTTCAACTAGACTGTCTATAGGTGTCCTCTTGGAGCCAGAGCAAACACCATGCCACTTCCTTGGGGAAGAACATCTGGGAGGTGGCCCTGTTACCTGCCCTGCAGGTGAACGCCATGCTGCGTCTCTTGTTTTATAGGCCTGCCTTGATGAGCAAGGGGTGTGGTAAACAGAGTTGAGTTCAAACGCTCCACAAGAGTCTCTAAGAACAGTCCTCAGAGTGACTCATTTCTCACTTATAAGCCAAAATTACTCTTTGAGTTGGAATCTGGGGCTTGCTCTCTTCTCACTCTGGTAAGCAGTGATGTACTTCTGATTCTTACAGGAAACATCAGAGGGTGATGGATGGAAACATCACCTTAGAGATTTTTGCCGGAGGTATTGACCCTAATGCCCGCCCAGTCCTCCAGTTTCTTCTTTATTAAAGGGGTAGTATGAGACCTAGAGGACTCCTTAAGGGTCCTTCTGATTCAAAAGTACTCATTCACTATGAGCTGGACCACCTGGAAGATAAGTTGAGTCTTGCTGTGGGGTTTTCTATCTAACTGTTCTCGCATCAGGAAAGTGCTCAGAAAATGAGATTCTAAACTTTCACCAGTCCTGGGACCTTCTAGAGTCTGTGGCAGAATGCCCTGTACCTTGCAAGGAGAGTTCTAGAGAAGGTAGGTGTGGCTGCCCAAGTTGCAGGGTATAAGAGGACATAAGGAAACAGGATGTTTGGAGTATTTAGCCTCAAGTTTCCAACATCTGTGGAATAGGAGAGGTAGGGGCTTCACTGTGATGCACATGGTAAAGTTCCAGGTTTCTTCAAAGGATCTATTGATTACAGGCTCTTAGAACCCTGTTCTTGTCAATGAGCTTATACATGTGGATCAAGGTATCTGGGCTGATGGCTGACACTTATTCATCAGTGTGATTCTTGGGCTTCCCTTTTAATTACTACTGAGGGTTGGAGGAAAGTATATTTTCAGTATGCATCTTTCTGTGGAGGCAATACCCAAAATATATTCACCAAGGACTCACTTGGGGGAAAAGTGGCTTAATCTTCATTGCTAACCACATGACCTTTCTGCAGCGAGATGTTTTCTTTTATGAAAACCAAATCTATGACTTGACATCTTTTTTTTTTTTTAAAGATTTTATTTATTTATTTGAGACAGAGAGAATGAGAGAGACAGAGAGCACATGAGAGGGGGGAGGGCCAGAGGGAGAAGCAGGCTCCCTGCCGAGCAGGGAGCCCGATGCGGGACTCGATCCAGGGACTCCAGGATCATGCCCCGAGCTGAAGGCAGTCGCTTAACCAACTGAGCCACCCAGGCGCCCCTGACTTGACATCTTTTAAAATTTGTTTCCAGGGCCACCTGGGTGGCTCAGTCAGTTGAACATCTGCCTTTGGCTGGGGTCGTGATCCCGGGGTCCTGGGAGCACTGGGCTCCCTGCTCAGTGGAGAGTCTGCTTCTCCCTCTCCCTCTGCCCCTCCCCACTGCTTGTGTTCTCTCTCTCTCTCTCAAAAATAAATAAAATCTTCAACAAAAATTGTTTCCAGTTACAGTAAAGATATTTATGTGTGTTTCTGTTGAATATGTTTCTCTTGGGGGGTTCTAGAGGACTTACCATATAAGGTACATATGTAAGTTCTCCGCATTGCAGTCTGAAACCAAACACATAAAGTGAACCCATTACCATCTTCTTTACCTGAAAAAGAAAAAGAATCGTTCCTGCTTAATTTTCCCAACCCTGCCAATAAGTATCCCATTTGATCAATCCTCTGATTTTACACCTATAGTGATTTTTTCTTAAAACCTTTATTACATTTTTTTCTGATTACCAGAGTAATACATTACTTATAGAAAAATTAGAAATGTAAATAAGTAAATAGATAAATAAATAAATAAAACCCACTATCCCACCATCCATATTTATTATTATTATTTTTTTATTTGAGACAGAGAGAATGAGAGACAGAGAACATGAGAGGGAGGAGGGTCAGAGGGAGAAGCAGACTCCCTGCTGAGCAGGGAGCCCGATGTATCCCACCATCCATAGATAATCTATCTCTGTCTGATGTTTGTTATTTTTTTTGTTTTGTTTTTTGGTGTTTTTTTCTGTATTTAAGTAATCTCTACAGCCACCGTGGGGCTTGAACTCATGACCCCAGGATCAAGAGTCACATGCTCTTCTGACTGAGCCAGCCAGGCGCCCCCTGATGTTTGTCATTTTGATGTATGGAAATACTGTATTTATTGTAGTGTATTTAGAATATTATATACCTATGTCTGATTAACTTTTTTTTTTTTAAGATTTTTTTTTTTTAAGTTATCTCTATACCCTAATGTCGGGCTTGAACTCACAACCCTGAGATCCAAGAATTGCATGCTCCAACAACTGAGCTGGTCAGGCACCCCAACTCTTTTTTTCTTTTTAAAGATTTATTTTTTCATTTCAGAGAGAGACAGAGCACAAGCGGGAGGTGCAGAGGGAGAGAGAGAATTTCAAGCAAACTCCATGCTGAGCATGGAGCCCCCTGTAGGGCTTGATCCCTTGACCATGAGGTCATGACCTGAGCCTAAACCAAGAGTCGGATGCTCAACCGACTGCACCACCCAGGTGCTGCCACACCAACTCTTACACATAAATTCCTAGAAGTCCAAAGGAATAAGCATTATTTATTTATTTATTTTAAAAATATTTCATTTATTTATTTGCAAGAGAGAGAGAGACAAAGAGAGAGAGGGAGAGCATGAGCAGGGGTAGGGGCAGAGGGAGAGGGAGAAACAGACTCCCCACTGAGCAGGGAACCTGATGCGGGGCTCCATCCCAGGACGCTGGGATCATGACCTGAGCCAAAGGCAGATGCTTAACTGACTAAGCCACCCAGGTACCCCCCCAAAGGAATAAGCATTTAAAAAAATAATCTTTCACAAGAAGGTAGATCTTTATAACTTTTAAGTTACAAGGAAAAATTTGTAACTATGTGAGGTAATGTATGTTAATTAAACTTATTGTGGCAATCATTTTGCAATATATATGTATATCAAATCAAACTTAAGGTTGTACACTTTAGGGTGCCTGGGTCGCTGAGTCAATTAAGCATCTGCCTTCGGCTCAGGTCATGATCCTGGGGTCCTGGGATCAAGTCCTGCATGGGGCTCCCTGCTCAGTGGGGAGCCTGCTTCTCCCTCTCCCCTTGCTCTTTCCCCCTTCTCATGCTTTCTTTCTCTCTCTGTGTCAAATAAATAAATAAAACCTTTAAAAAAAAAAAGGTTGTACACTTTAAATTAATACAATGTTAAAGATAAATTATATCTCAACAAAACTGAAAAAAATCAAAATAAAACAATTTAAATTTTAGAATAGTTTTAGATTTAACATTTTTTTGGGGGGGTGGAGGGAGAGAGAATCTTAAGCAGGCTCAGCATGGAGCCCAACATAGGGCTCAATCTCACAACCCTGAGATCATGACCTGAGTCAAAATCAGGAGTCCGATGCTTAACCGACTGAGCCACCCATGCGTCCCATAGAGTAGTTGTAGATTTAAAAAAAAGGTGGGAAGATAGTACAGTTTCCACCCAGCCTATATCCAATTTCCTCTATTACTAATATCTTACATTAGCATGGCACATGTGTCACAATTAATAAACCAACATTGACATATTATTAGCTAACTGATACATTATTACTAACTAAGATCCATGCTTTATTTAAATTTACTTCATGTTTACCTCATGTCCTTTTTCTGTTCCAGTATCCCATCCAGGATACTATATTACATTTTGTCATCATGTCTCCTTAGGCTCCTCTTGACTGTGACAGTTTCTCAGACTTTTCCTGCATGTAATATCAAGGGTATATACTATCAATATGAGTTACACTTGTTGATGTTAACCCTGATAACCTGGCTGAGGTAGTGTTTGTCAGGTTTCTCCAGTATCAAGTTACTCTTCCCCTTTCCATATTTTACTCTATGGAAGGGTATCACTATGCACAGCCCAAACTTAAGGAGAGGGAACTTCACCTCCTTAAGGGCAGGGTTTCTACATAAATTTGAAATTCTTCTGCTTGGAAGACTTACCTATTTTCCCCCTTTATTTATTTATTCAAACATTTATTTATACCCATATGGATTCAAGGGTATTTATTTTATACTTTGGACCATCATTCAATACTATTTATTTGTTCAAATTATTCCAGCTTTGGCCATTGGGAGCTCTTTCAGTTAGCTCATATTCTCTCTCTCAGATGTCCTCATTAGTGTGTGTGTCTGTGTGTCTGTGTATGCATGTTTACTATTTTCTTACTTTCTGGCACTGTAAGATGCTCCAGGTTCATCTTGTATATTTCTTGCCCCAATCCTAGACTCAGCCATTTCTCCAAGGAGCCATGGTTCCTCTTATTGGAGAATGTTATTAAAAAACAAAATGGTATGCATGTTGCTACTGGAATGGCATTTCTAGGTCTAGTATCATACAGAATTTTACCAGTCTGAAAAGTCCCTGTGCTTCATCTATTCAACCCTTCCCCCATTCCAACCCCCGGCAGTCGTTGATCTGTTTACCATCTCCACAGTTTTGACTTTTCCAGAATGTCACATATAAATAGAATCATACAGTATACAGCCTTTTCAGACAGGCTTCCTTTACTTAGCAATATGCATTTAAAATTCATCTATGTCTTTGCATGGCTTGGTAGCTCATTCTTTTTTATTTCTGAATAGTATTCCATGTATGGTGATAACACGTTTACTTATTCACTTTTCGAAGGAGGTCTTGGTTGCTTCCATGTTCTGGTGATTATGAATAAAGCTGTTATAAACAATCACATGCAGAATTTTATGTGGATATGTTTTCCTCTCAGTGGGTAAATACCTAGGAGTGCAACTGTGGATTGTATGGTAAGACTATGTTTAGCTTTGTAAGAAACTTCCAAACTCTCTTCCAAAGTGGTTATACCATACTAGCAGTGAGTGAGTTCTTGTTGCTTTGCATCCTCACCAGCAATGGGAATTATCAGTTATTTGGATTTTAGCCATTCTAGTAGATGGAAATAAAAACTTAACGAAAGGATTTTTTAATCAACTCTATGCCCAAGGTGGGGTGCAAACTCATAACCCTGAGATCAAGAGTCACATGCTCTACAGAGTGAGCCAGCCAGACTCCTGTAAAGAAAGGATCTTGATACATAATGCCACATTTCTCCTCAGAAATTTTGTATCTGTTTTTCTGGAGTAACTTTTGTTCCTATACTCCTTGTTCCCTACATTTAATCAGGTACCAAGTCATGCAGTTTCTTTATGATTGCTGACAGTAAATTTTACTCCATCTGGTAGTCACTCCTCTGATCTGGCTTCCTTACCTCACACCTGGACTGAGTGCAACAGCAAGACTGCTTATTTCCCAGACTCCAGTATTTCCTTGTTCTAACAAAACTCATGCAATACAGCCAAAACAAAACAAAATTGTAATCATCCCTTAACAATTTTTATCTTGGTAACTTTGCTTTTCAAGAACTATGGTGGGTGGCCTATTGAACCAAATTTAAAGCCCTCGGTCCAGTATTTAATATTTCTTTAAACCAAATTTCTCTCGAATTCCCATTTTGATTTCTCCATATTGACCAAGTTAGTCTTTTTACCATCCTGACATACAATTTGAAGACTTTCACTTCTTTGTCAACATTCTTATCATTTCTTTCCATTTGGAATGCTTTACCTCTTCTGTTTCCCTCAGTCATTATCCTAGCTCAAAATGGTCATAATCAAGCTCTTCCCTAAATAAACTTACTCCATTTTAATTTATCTTTTATTTCCTATCAGTGCTGTAAAATAGTTTGTCATACTGTCTTGAATTTGTCTGTTTTCTATTATTCCCTGTGCATTTTATCTACCTAATCATCAACCAATAAGCATATAGACATACACACACACATATATATATACACATATATATATATCAGTAGAGTTGAAAGAAAGTACATTAACTCTTCTGTTTCTTTTGTTTTCTCTAAAGCAGTTGGCACACTGCCATGCACATAGCAGGAATTGAATGAATGTTGGTTGAATGAACAGATGAGAAAATTGCAAAATTTATTTGAAATCAGTTTACTTAATTAATTAATTTATTTATTTTAAGATTTTATTTATTTGCGAGAGAGAGAATGAGAGACAGAGAGCATGAGAGGGAGGAGGGTCAGAGGGAGAAGCAGACTCCCCGCGGAGCAGGGAGCCCGATGCAAGACTCGATCCCAGGACTCCAGGATCATGACCTGAGCCGAAGGCAGTCGCTTAACCAACTGAGCCACCCAGGCGCCCCAGTTTACTTAATTTAAATACTTAATTTTTATTACACAAAATATGTTAACTATGGAAAAATCTAGAAAAGAAAAGCCTAGAAAATACAAATCTTCAAAAAAGAAAAATAATTTTATAAATCTCTGTATAATTCCATTACCCCGAGATAATTAGTATTTTTTTTACTGTTTTTTTAAAAAGATTTTTTATTTTCGAGAGAGTGCACACGTGAGTGGGAGGAGGGGCAGAGGGAATTGGAGAGAGAGAATCCTCAAGCAGACTCACTGCTGAGTGTGGAGCCCGACAAGGGGCTTGATCCCAGGACCCTAAGATCATGACCTGAGCCGAAACCAAGAGTCAGCTGCTTAACTGAATGAGCCACCCAGGAACCCCTTTTTACTGTTTTTTTTTTTTTAAATATGTTATTTATTAAGTAATCTCTGCACCCAACGTGGGGCTCAAACTCACAACCCTAAGATCAAGAGTGGCATGCTCTACCAACTGAGCCAGCCAGGCACCTCCCCCACTGGAGATAATTACTATTAATCTCAGTTTTACATGTAACCGACCATACTTTTTCTATGCATGCATGATATTTGAAGTGATGACTATGTTTTATAACATGAAATGCTTAAGTTATGTACCTTTAAAGTATACCTTTAAAGGTCAAATGTACAAACTATCTAGGTCTAAGAGCGTCACATACAGAAGTATACTGGTCACCTGAAGTAGACTTGCTGTTTCTGATTCCCAGCTCAGAGATCCTCCCACCAAATCCTACTTCTTCTAGATAACCCTAATGCATATTCTCCTTGACATGCTGTCCTTTATATAACAATTCAAGGATTAAGAAATTCTGACAGAGCCCCAAGGAAGAAGGTGGATATTAATTATTCCATTGTCTCTCCTTTGTTGAGAACCTGGGTGATTCCACCACAAGCGGTATTTATATACTCATTAGTTTTAGAAGTTTGAAAAAAAAAAAAAAACCAAAAAACTATTCCTAGCACTAAAAGTGTATAATCAAATGGAGCAACATCACTTACTAACCTCATTCTCTTTTTTTGGGGGGGTGGGGAGGGGTAGAGGGAGAGAGAGAATCTTAAGCAGGCTCCATGCCCAGCACAGAGCTAGATGCAGGGCTTGATCTCACAATCCTAAGATCATGACCCGAGCTAAAATCAAGGGTTGGATGCTTAACTGACTGAACCATCTAGGCACCCCTACTGGGCTCATTCTTGTTGGGCAGGCAGTAAGGATAGAGCTTTTAGGAGGGAAGCAGACATTTTGTGTATATATATATCTCCTTTTCAGGAAGGGTAAGCTCAATAGCAGAAGAAACTGTAGGAAACTTTCTGAATAATTTTCTTAGGCTGTGTAACGTGGTAGTCTAGCTGCAGGCGTAACTCCTTATTTTTTAAAATATGCCCACTTCCTAGATGTTGCCAGACATCTTGCAGGTGTATTCAACTATAGCTCAAATAAGTAGTAGCCTTCAGTTTATGATTTCTCAATTAAATTAATATGTTCCCAGCACCTCCTTGAGGACAGACAGTAGATTAGAAAGCTACACATCTGTAACACTGTTAAGTGGCGGGGGGGGGGGGGGGAGGGAGGAAACAATCTAAATATTCAACACTAAAGACTGGATAAATCATGTAAACAGAATACTATGAAGTAGTAAACAAGAATGACAGAGCTCTTTGTATGCTAATATGAAATATCTCTAGAATAAATCAGGTGAGAAAAGCAAGGTACAGAAGTGTGTAGAGTAATATGCTGCCATTTGTATTTAAAGGGAAAAAATGAATTGGCACGTACGAAATTGCTTATATATTTAAAAATCTCTAGAAGGCTATTTTCTTTTTTTTTTTCTTGGAAAGACAGAGAACTGGTGCATGAAAGACAGGAAGGGGGAGGAGAGGCATAGGAAGAGGGGGGTAGGTGGGGAGGGGGAGAGGGAGAGAGAGAATCTTAAGCAGGCTCCATGCCCAGCACAAAGTCTGATGTGGGGCTCAATCCAACAACGCTGAGCTTGTGACCTGAGCCAAAATCAAGAGTTGGATGCTTAATCAATGGAGCCATCCAGGTGCCCCTCTAGAAGAATACTTTAAAACCTAATAAGATGGTTTGGGCAACTCTTTCTGCCCACAGGTCCTGTCCCCATGCTTCAGTAAAACCATTCTAAGTAAGTAAGTAAGTAAGTAAGTAAATAAATAAATAAATAAATAAGACCTAATAAGATGGTTTGCTTATGAGAGGGGATCTGAGTATATAATGGGCAAAGTAAAATGACTCCTTTCATTGTATTTTTAAAATTCTTTCTGAAATTTGAACCACGTGAATATATTAACTATTCAGATTTCTTAATGTGAAATTACATGGTCTAAGAAATTAACAATATAGTTGGAAAAACCAGAAAATGTTTTAAATTAAGTGTTTCCAGTTGTTATAAAAGAGAAAGATACTAAATTTGGTGGCAGTCAGGGATAACTCCACTAGAGTGCTAATTAGCAGGTCTATAAGAAAGATATAATGATTGGATTATTATATCAGTTTATCTGACTGATGAAGTTCCTCTGCCTTTGAGGGTACCAAGGAATCAATGTGATATAGTGGAAAGAGCATGGGTTTTGAGATCAGGCAGAAATAAATTCAAATCCTAGCCTTTCCATATATTGGTCTTATAAGCTTGGGTAAGTTATTTAAACTTTTTGGAGTTTCAACTTCCTCATCAGAAAATGGGTGAAATCTTAGTAAGTTTATTATAAAGGTTAAATGACATGACATCCAAGTGCAACACATTTTTTGGTTTACTTCCTTCCTTACATAGACAGGCTGAACTGAGATGCACTGACATGCAGAAATTAAGTGTCCTGAGAAAAAACAAGTTGCACATGAAAGAACTACAGTTAGTTAAAGTAGCTTAAGTCCCCGTATCTACAATTCGTCAATCTCATATTTCTTTTTTTTAAGATTTATTTATTTATTTATTTGACAGAGAGAGACACAGCAAGAGAGGGAACACAAAGCAGGGTGAGCAGGAGAGGGAGAAAGGCTTCCTGCGGAGCAGGGAGCCCGACGCAGGGCTCCCCGATCCCAGGACCTAGGGATCATGACCTGAGCCGGAGGCAGACACTTAACGACTGAGCCACCCAGGTGCCCCCAATCTCGTATTTCTTATAAAAAAATGAAGATTTTTATTACTTCAAAAGTTTTAAAAATCCTTGGGATATACAGTTTCTCCTTTTACCTTTTCCTTTTATGTCTGAAAGATGGTCAAAAGGAAGAGTGCTTTGAAATACACTACAACTACACCTTAAACAATACTCCTGCTGGTTTTTTGGAGGAAAAACGAATTTCCTAAAAGAGGGATTTTGCTCTCTACTGCTTATTTAGCATTTGAAAAATCAGTGTATTTTCTTTAGTTGCAAATACCATCTTAAGATATGATGTATCAAAAACATTACCCAATAAATCACACTAAACTTACTGATATTTTACACTGAATACTTTGAGTGTGATTTGATATATTCACCAAGTGTATTACTTGATATAGTAATTGACTAAATCATTTCTCAGTTAGTTTTCACTTTTGTAACACCACATAATGTGGTATGTATAGAAATATTAAATTCATGTTTAATACAGTCTCAACAATAGCAGTCACCAAAATCTAGAAGATTGGGAGTCACTAAATCATAAAATGATTACTCAATTGTTGTCAAACTCCTGGCAACAAGTGTCTCAGGTAAAGATCCAGGTGAAACAAAGATTATTGCTCAATCATATTTTCCTGGCTACATGCAGGGTTGATTGCTAGACACTGAGTAAAGAGTGTGTATTTCTCTTTCAAATATATTGGGGAAAATGCATATGCCCAGATTTCCTTTCTCTCTGTTCTTGAGATTCGTTACATTTGTTCAAAGAATTTAATGAGTTTGTTCAGGGAGTTGCATCAGAAATTATTTTTGTATTAATGGTAGGAATGACAAGCAGTTCCTCTGTAATGTTGCACCAGTCAATACCTGTTTTTGCCTAGGGATGTATCCATACCAATTCTGGATAATCCAGCTTTGAAGTGGGTTGGGCAGAGCTGAGTTTTTTTTTTTGTTGGTGCTATTAGTTTGGGTTGTGACCTCTCACACATGCCTTCAAAATTTAAACATCACTGAGAATACAGGCTAATTAAATTCCATAGATTCTAACTAAAGACAGTACACAGGGCATTTGTATCAAAATAGTTTTGTAGAAAAGGTACAAGAATTTTTTCCATTTCCTACAACTTATTATCTAGAAAGAACATTCACCTAACATATTCTGCTTATAGAAAAGACTTCTTTTTTTGTATGTGAAATGCCAAAATTAGAATTACCATGCCAAAGAAATGTTCACAATCTCCAAAATGTTCTTTAAGCTTGGCAGAATCAAATTTTAAAAAATTGTTATGTATATACATTTAATATTTATTTATTTTAGGGAGAGGGATCGCCAGCGAGTGGGGGGGAGGGGCAGAGGAAGGAGGAGACAGAGAATCCCAAGCAGAGCAGGAGCGTGACCGCGGCTGGATCTCACCACCGATGAGATCATGACCTGGACCAAAATCACCAGCCGGTCGCCTTACCGACTGAGCCACCCAGGCGCCCCCAAATCGTTGTATTCTTTACAGAATTTTCAGATTACAGTTCAAGGTAGGTGAAATATTAAAAATTGCAAATCAAGATATACAAAGACCTTTGTTAGAGTTGCAAGAGAGGAGATGTGCCAAATCTCTTGCTTTTAGCCAACCTAAGTCATATGGACATTCTCTGGGTCAAAGGACATTTGCCATACAAACTTCACCAAACGCCTTTCTGTTGATCTTTGATCATAGGATTAGTTGAAGCATGAGTATTTTAAAGCCCCTCTTTATTGACAAAGGAGATAGAGGGATAGAGATAGGGATAACAGAAGTAGAGATAGATCCTTAGAAGGGGGAAAGACACCTCCGCACGCCGCTCCCCTCCCTCCCCCCCAACTGCGGCCCCCTGCCTTAGCTAGCTTGTTTTGCATCACGGAGATCTGACAAGAATTAGTTTGGTTGGCAGGACCCAGGAGCAGGTGGAAAACTCCTGAAGGAAGAGTAACTAACCAAAATGGGTCTGTAAGTTTGGCACTTTGCTAACCGCCTTATGTTGGTTATCTGATGTATTCATAACAACAACGCAATGAGGGACGTACTAATATTAGCCCCATTTTACAGATGAACGAACTGAAAGTCAGAGATTCAACACAAAACGCCCGCAGGTCACACAGCAAATAAATGGCGGCACCACAATTCCTAACAGCTCCAGAGCAGGCACTCTTCACACCGCTTTCAGCCCTACGGTCCGATTTCCTCGAGCTGTTCGCGGCCTTCCCACCTTCCCTGGTGGGACAGTTCCCAGTACTGAGGCATGGCGCTGTCCAGCCCTCAGGCCCGCCGCCTTCCACAAGCAAGAGAACGCGGCGCCGCGAGGCCATCCCGCCTGCAGGTTGTAGAACTGCCGCGCCCAGCCACGTCCCGGCACGCGGGCTGGCCGAATCGCCTCGGGGCGGCCATCCCAAGCAGCCCCCCTGGTCCCCTCAGCTTCGCGCGCTGGGCTCCACTCGGAAAGGCTGGAGGCGCCAAGCAAGAACAGCCCTGCCTCCTCCCCTGTCCCAGCCCCCTACACCCCCCCAAAGAGCCAGAGGCGTAGGTTACACAATCTCACCTGTCCCAGAGGTGGCGACCGCTCTAGTGACTGACGCTCCGCTCCTCCAACCAGGGGCTGTCAGGAAGGTGGAGACTAGATGAGACTGATTGCTTCTTTCCTCCAATCCCCGTGCAGCAACTCTCCGGCCGCAGTCTCGGCGTCTGGCGGAGAGCGACAGGTGGGAGCTTCGTAACCTCCGTACCTCTTGCATCCTTGACAGATAAGCCCCACTAAACTCAGGGTGAATTCTACTCCAAATCTTACCAATCCTTGAGGGTCGTCACCTCTGCCGTCATTTTAATCAGAAGTGGAAATTCCCCAACCCTTTCCCGTCACCTCAGAAGGGGGCGGGATGAATGGTACTATTGCGGGCCAATTGTACCACGCGACGTCCTGTGACAAAGTGATCGACATTTTATGGCGCCAATGAAGCCTCCCATTGTCAGGGGTCACTATGACTGACCACAAGGCGAACTAATCCACTTTAAGGTCGTGACGCAATAGTTAGAGAGGTTGACCAATAGACGTAGAAAAAGACCGGAAGTCGGCGCGTGGGGACTAGGAGGCGGGTGTTCGCAACCGCCTAGGCCTACGCGGGTCAACGCAGCTTGGGGGCCGCGAGCCAGCAAGCCGCGCGTGACGAAGAGCCTGAGCGACGGGTTACCTTGGCCAATGATCTGCAGCCGCTGGGGAGCTGCAACCAGTGGCGAGTGTGGGGGGCGGGAGGCAGCAGGTTAGGCAGTGAGAAGTTAGTGGCGCTGCTGGGACGGGGGGAAGGAGAAGCTTCTTCCTCCTGCTGTTCCTCTCGTTCCCGGGATCGGCGGCGGCGGTGGCTGCGAGTGACTCGGCAGCGTCTCCGGCTCCGCGTGCAAACCATGCTGACCGATGGCGGAGGCGGCGGCACCTCCTTTGAGGAGGATCTGGACTCGGTGGCTCCGCGATCCGCCCCAGCCGGGGCCTCGGAGCCGCCTCCGCCGGGAGGGGTCGGGCTGGGGATTCGCACCGTGAGACTCTTTGGAGAGGCCGGGCCCGCGCCGGGAGTCGGTGGCGGCGGCAGCGGTGCGGCCGGAGGGGACGCGGCGCTGGATTTCAAGTTGGCGGCTGCCGTGCTGAGGACCGGGGGTGGAGGTGGTGCCTCTGGCAGCGACGAGGACGAGGTGTCCGAGGTACGCTTCCAGGACCCCCGCGTCCCATACAGTGTGAGGCACGAATTCTCTTTGGGTCGGCACAGGGCCCGGGCCACCCTCTGGCTCCCCGGGCGGAGCCGTTCTCTGACAGTGATCGGCTCCATGGCGGCAGTGGCAGCGGTGCGGGCCTAGTGCGCCCTCAGCTTACTCTTCAGCCGGCGGCTCGAGCCGGACCGGTTCCCGTCACCATCCGTAGACCCACAATGGGGAGTCCTCTGGTCTCTAAGCTTCGCGCGGGAACAAGGACTCCTCTGGCTACCTCCCGCCCACCCCGCTTTGGAGATGGGGGGCGGGGTCTTGCCAGAGTCCCTGCCCTTGGTACTGAGAGCGAGCGAGACATGGAGAGAGAGAGAGAGACCGAGACAGAGCTTGCTAGCTGAAAGAGCATTTCCAGTATATGCATGTTCCCAGAGTTGAGTTGTCTGTCATTTATTTGCCCTGTGCCTTACCTGTGCATGAAAGAAGTGTTCTTAATTTCCTTTTTTAGTTTGAGACAGGTTAGTATGAAGAAGCTGTCTGCTTTTACCCTAAGAAAGCACGTGAGTCTTGCACCTGGGACCTTTTGTGAAGTTACGCAGGAAAAGGAAATTCCAGTGCATCTCTGAACTTCAAAATAGCTGGATAGCTGAAGTCTGTATTTTTTAGGCTTGGAGAAGGTGAAACACTGAACAGCTTTTGCGGCAGTTAATGATCAGATCCTTCATTTCTTGTAACTCTTTAACTCTTAACTCTGGCTTTTTAGGTCTGAGCAACCTGGGATGGACGGCATCATCATCTTTTGGGCCCTAGGGAATAGGGAGATATATAATACATATATATATATTATATATATACTTTTATCTCTTGACTATGGCTTGGATATAGTACTGTTCCTTGATGGCTATTGTTCTAAGTGCCAGAGTATTCTATTTTGGTTCTAAGGTGCCTGGTTCATTCCCCTATGACCAATTATTTTAGCCTCTGATCTTGCTGTTAAAGTACAGAGATTTCTCTGTGTACAAGTATCTTGGCTGTTGTATTTGAGAGGAATAAGAAACTATTTATGGGTTGCAGAATACAGTTAGTGCATTGTCTTACCATTCTACCATTGTCTTACCATGTCTGAACAGGGGTTCATTTAGACTTAAAATGTTAGTACATTTTAACTCCAGTGTTTTGCTTTGGAAAAAATAGTGTGTGGGATGTAAGGAAGCTAGTCCCTTGAATGTCTGTATCTTTGAATTTCACTTTAAGAGAAGTAACTTCTAAGTCAAAGTGGGACAGGATTTTATTTGAGTAGGCAGTTATAGGGAGAGTCTCTGGAGCACCTCCACTCTTGTGCTTATGGAAGACTTTCTTCCATCCTTTCAATGAAAATTGATGAGAGAGGAACCTAAAACACATGTACTTTTTACCTACAGAATTAAGTGGGAATACCTTTAGATTTTAAAGATTAGAGTCTTTTTTTGTTTTAACTTGTAAGAGAGCCTGAAAAGGTTTGCTTTGGTCTAAATGTAATGTCCTTGATTTTCTGGACCATTTTTACATAATTATCATAGGTAAAGTGAAAGATCACTAATTCACTTTTACATAAATAGTATTCTTACATTTTTTCGGAGGTAGAGTGATAGTGAGCCTCCAAAGTCATAAATTTCTAACTCTTTTGGCTGGGAAATGTTGTATCTGGGAAATGAGCTTTTCAAGTAACCATTTCTGTGAGGCTTGTACACACACACATGCACACACATGCACGCACACACAGTCTCTCTCTTCTAAAGCTTACTGTATTTCATTTGGATTCCCCATACCATGTGATTAAAGCTGTGAGCAGAATCGACACCTTTTTGTTTTTTTGATGTTTACTGTGGAAGTTATTTATTGATGATTCTTGTACTCATTTAGGCTAATGGTAGAACTCCTTAGTTTCCTGTTGGGGGGTTTTCTGTGCCAGGATTTAGATATTAAGTGTATATGGGTGGGCCTCATTTTTGGAATGAATGTGTCTGGGATACCCAGAGACTTTATCATAGTCTAAGATGATGCTCAGGGTGCACATAGATTCTTTCTTAACCTGTAGAAAAAGGAAATTTTGTTTTTATGTCTTCTTTCTTCTATATCACGTAGAGAAGAAATTCCTGGAGTATCTAGTCTTTGCTGTACAGTATGTGTGGTAGAGTATAGTCTATATGTTTGTGAGTGAAATGACCTATTTTGCCCAAGCAGATTTCTTTCTTTTTTCTTTTCTCTTTCAAAGGATTAGCCATTTTCTCCCATATCATTGCCTTTGAATTTCCATTATGAAGAGATCATAATGTTCAAAAAACACTCACCCAATTGGCATTTGATGAATAATACTAAAATCTTTATTTTTGTCTTCCCTAGATGTTTTAGAACCGAGTATTTAGAATCTAGAAATCCAGAAAGATAACGAGTTATTTTATAGTTTGAGAGCAAAATTTGTCTTGTTCCCCAAATGGGGCAGGACTCGGTGAGAAATAAGTAAGAAATGTGGAGGCCTAGTTTATTTGCTCTGGAATTAGTTGAAGTCTTATACATTTGGTGTACAGAGGCGTAGATACTCTAGGGACCTCTCTTTTGTTCATTATGAGAGCCAATAGCTAAGAAAAACCAAGCTGTTTTCCCTTGCTGGCTAAGTTAAAAGACGTTTTAGTTTAAGGAATGGGTTTGGGTCTTTTTGTAAATTTTTTATTAGAATTATAGTAGCTTAGAGAATGCCACCATTTGGGATCTTTGGTTCTTGTTTTAAACATTGGTAAATATCTGTTTTGTATTTCTTCAGGCATAGCAAGAATGTTCCTTAGCTGTCCAAGGCCTTGAATAGAAATCAGAACTTGCATTGGATCCTGTTGAAACGTACCATTGTTTAGGATAGCGATCAGGTTGAAAATTCTTTAAAAAACAATTTTTAAATGTTGATTTTAGATTTGTAGTCTTTTTTAAGCAAGTAAAAAAGAAGAAAATACCTAAAGAAAAGACTTTTGTGAGGCTTATGACTAAATTTTCTGTTATAAGAATATACGCGTATATATGCGTGATATTCTCCTTTTAATTTTTTTTTTAAAGATTTTATTTCTTTGAGAGAGCGAGAGGGTGAGAGAGACAGAGAGAGAGCACGAGCGGGGGTGGGGTGGAGGCAGAGGGAGAGGGAGAAGCAGGCTCCCCGCAGAGCAGGGAGCCCAAGACGGAGCTCGATCCCAGGACCCCATGATCATGACCTGAGTGGAAGGCAGATGCTCAGCCAACTGAGCCACCCAGGTGCCCCTCCTTTTAAAATTATAAAAGTCATATAGTCTCATGTTGAAAAATTCAACAGTGTAGGTAGTAGATATAAGATGCAAAGTAGAAGTCCTCACCCCCACTGACCCTTCAAATCCCATTCTTCAGTGATAACCAATATTATAATTTTTTCAGTAAATTTTCTAGGCCTATATAAGCCTATGTATGTGTGTGTATTTGTTTATATATATATACACACACTTTAAAGACGGGTACCCAATTAGACAGCATAGCTTTGTATCATATTGAAGTTTTTTTTTTCTTATCTTGAGGCAGGTGCCTTATTTATAAATAAGTAGAAACACACAAACTGTATATAGCAGTTTATAGGAAATTATAGCAAAAGCTTTGTAGGGAATTTTTTTTCCGTGAAAATTATTTTTAGAGGCAAAAGTACAGCCATACAGAATTTCCATTTTGATTTTCTCTCATTGAAGAGGAGATATATCATTTGCTTTAGAGTTACTTATAATCTATAATCTAGAACAAGGTTTCTCAACAGCAACATATTGACATTTTAGTCCAGATAATTCTCGTTGTTAGAGGCTGTCTGTCCTGTGCATTAGCAACATCCCTGGCCTTTACCCACTAGATGCCACCAGAACCCCTCCAGTTGTGAGAGCCATAAATGTCTCCAGACATTGCTAAATGTCTCCTGGGGACACAATCACCCCTGGTTGAGAACCACTGGTCTAGAGTCCATTCTTATCGGCAGGGATGGCAATTTTGTCATGAATACTCTGTATTCAAACTTTAGGTAAACAGGTGAGTCACTGTTTTTAGTAGCATCTCAAGGTTTATGTTCATAATCTGGACAAGAGAGAAATTGAAGGAGGGTACTGAAAGGTTTAATGCTGTCAATTTTCTGTGGTAAATTTATCATTTTGAGTAACTTTAACTTAAAATACTATATTATTTTTGAAAAATTCATTTATTGTCCATGAAAATAAATTTCTAAAAAACTTTTATTGGGACTTTGTTCAAGGTAGAAAGTGCTTTATTCCATAAATTATCAATACTAGTGATAAAATAGGAAATAGAACTTTGTACTCT